CAGCCTGCCATACACCAAATGTTCCATGCTGTTCTATATATTCCTTCCTTGGCTTTTTCTTCTTCCCCAAATGCTCGTTTTTTTATAATCACATCCTATCCTCTACCTGGCAAACCTATATTCTACCTTTATGAGGCAGCTTAAACGTCTTCCTTTATTGACCCACTGGATAATATCTGGCAGAATTCAAAAGCTCAACAAAAGCTCCTAAATCATATGTAATATTATTTCTTATTGATGTTTTCAATCTGTATGGGTTCTCTTTTATAACAGGTTCTCTTTTATTTGATTTTGCTATAGTTTCTACCATGTGAAGAAAATTCCTATTTTCATAGTTACAAAGTAAATATTTTGGGATGATGTGCTCTTGTTTTTGATGATGCTATACTGTGTAACTGGTATCCATTTTCCCTCCTCACTCCAACCTTCTTCCTTCTTTTAAAACAGGAAAAGAAAACCAGATTTTTATCTGATAAGAACCAGATTCTTATCAGGTACAGTGGTGGCAATGAGAAAACAGATACCAAATATTTAAAAGGTCATTTCACATGACCACTTACACTAGCTCTCCACTAGTCTTTTTACCTTCTTATTTCACTATTTCCAAGAATTCATGGGGTGCTTATGTAATTCTAACAGTTACTTATAGTGAACAACTGTTTTGATAGGTTATAGTTCAAGAATATATAGGAAAAGATGGAGAAAATGCAGGAAACGATTTCATCAGAGGATTAGAATCTTAAAAAAAAAAAAAGTAAATGGAAATTCTGGAACTAAATAACACAGTATATGAAATTAGGAACTCAATGAATGGATTTACAGCCGATCAAAAAGAGCAGAATAAAGGACTAGTGGACTGGAAGACAGGTCAATAGAAAATGTCCAAATTGAAGCTCAGAGAGATGAAAGTCAGGAAGTGAGAAGCTCAGAGGAAAAAAAATTTGGAAAATTCAGGAAATAATTTATGATGAATAAACCTACAGTTATAGTATCATGATATTTAATAATTTTATATTTCTTATAACTATTCTTTTGTATACACTTAACATTTAATAAAAAGGATAATACAAAACATGCACAGTCCTATCTTTTTCACTTGTCACTCCATATGTACAACACTGAACAATTTTTCCTTCTAGTGAGAAAAATTACAGAACGACATAAAATTTTTTTTAAAAAGAATTAGTTCTAAAACTATGAAAATCATACAAAGAAAAATGTTTTCTACAAAACTTCTTAAATTATTTTAGGTTACTTGCAGCTAAATTATTTTAGGTTACTTGCCATGATACCTCATTAAACTATAACTAATACAAATGTTGTCAAAATCAACATACAGAAAACCCCGAAGTCATAGGAAACATTTCATGCTTCATGAGGAATAATCTAGTGCCTGGGAGAGCATCTTATCTTCAACTGCACACTCCAACTATGTGGATGGCTGTCTAGTGTTTCATTGTATAAAAGACTTTGAGCAACAATCATTTGTTCTGAACCAAGGGGTCCATGTGGGCAAGGCAGAAAAGCAGGACAAGGCCTGGCCAGAAATTCAGGCTGAGATGGCGTGTAAGAGAAGATGGTGAAGAAGAAAGTGAGATGTCAACCACAGACGACCTTCCATGCCATGCAATGAAAATCTCCTTGCTGACTGCAAACAATTGATACTGTGACACCACATATACAATACATCCTTGCCGAACTGATACCTCACATTATACACAAAGATCATCAGTAAAGGTTAGGCTTCCCCAGGTATGGGGGAGATGCCAGTGACAGAGGGAGGTGTGGCCTTTGAAACCTTGTGTCCTACTCAACATTACGACTTTGCTGATCACTGCATCAGATTTTAAGATTGATCACTCATGATACCATGGAAGATACATTAGAGGGGTAAGGCTGGATACAGGTAACTTCCTCATGAAACTAATCCAGGAGGTGGCTTGATTGAAAAGAAGGGGAAATTTTTTTTTTTTTTTTTTTT